GAGAACTACAGGACAATATCGCTGATGAACATAGATGCAAAAATTCTCAACAAAATTTTGGCAACCCGAATTCAGCAATTCATCAAAAGGATCATGCATCACGATCAAGTGGGATTCATACCAGGGACACAGGGATGGTTCAAATATCTGCAAATCAATCAACATGATACGGCACATCAACAAATTGAAGAGTAAAAACCACATGACCATCTCAATAGATGCAGAGAAAGCATTTGACAAGATCCAACACCATTTATGATAAAAACTCTGAACAAAATGGGGATAGAAGGAAAATTCCTCAACATAATAAAGGCCATATATGTATGACAAACTCACAGCCAACACCATACTCAATGGGCAAAAACTGAGTGCCATCCCCCTCAGAACAGGAATAAGACAAGGATACCTTCTATCACCACTCTTGTTCAACGTAGTTCTGGAGGTTTTGGCCAGAGCAATTAGTCAAGAGAAAGGAATAAAAGGAATCCAAATAAGGAGTGAAGTGAAAGTCTCGCTCTTTGCAGATGACGATATTATATATAGAAACCCCAAAAATATCCATCGGAAAACTAATAGAAATAATGAACAACTACAGTAATGTTGCAGAGTACAGAATCAACTTACAAAAACCAGTTGCTTTTCTACACTCCAATAATGAACTTACAGAAAGAGAACTCAAGAATACAATTCCATTTGCAATTGCAACTAAAAGAATAAAGTACTTAGGAATAAATTTAACCAAGGAGGTAAAGGACTTATACAATGAAAACTAAGACATTTATGAGAGAAATTGATGATGACTTAAAGAGATGGAAAGAGGTTCCTTGCTCATGGATTCGAAGAATAAACATAGTGAAAATGTCCATACTACCCAAAGCAATCTACAGATTCAATGATATCTCAAAGAGAATCCCAATGACACTCTTCACGGAAATAGAGCAAAGAATCCTAAAATTCATATGGGGCAATCAAAGACCCCAAATTGCTAAGGCAATCCTGAGAAAAAAGAACAAAGCTGGAGATATCACAACCCCTGATTTCAAAATGTACTACAAAGCCATAGTGACCAAAATGGCATGGTACTGGTACAAAAACAGGCACACAGATCAATGGAACAGAACTGAAAGCCCAGAAATAAAACCGCACATCTATGGACAGCTAATCTCTGACAATGGTGCCAAGAACACAGAACGGAGAAAAGATAGTTTCTTCAATAAATGGTCTTGGGAAAACTGGAGAGCCACATGCAAAAGAATGAAGGTAGACCACTATCTCACGCCATACACAAAAATAAACTCAAAATGGATCAAAGACTTGAAGATACGTCCTGAAACTATAAAACTCCTGGAAGATAATATCGGTGGCACACTCTTTGACGTCGAACTAAAAAGGATCTTTTCAAATACCATGGCCTGTCAGACAAGGGAAACAAAAGAAAAAATAAACAAGTGGGAGTTCATCAGACTAAAGAGCTTCTGCAAGGCAAAAGAAACTAGGATCAAAATGAAGAGATGACCCACCAATTGGGAGAAAATATTTGCAAATCATATATCTAACAAGGGGTTAGTCTCCATAATATATAAGGAACTCACACAACTGAACAATAAGAAAGCAAACAACCCGATCAAATAGTGGGCAGAGGAGATGAACAGACATTTCTCCAAAGATGATATATAGATGGCCAATAAACACATGAAAAGATGTTCAACATCACTAATCATCAGTGAAATGCAAATCAAAACTACACTAAGATACTACCTTATGCCTGTTAAAATGGCTATAATCACTAAGACTAAAAATAGCAAATGTTGGAGAGGGTGCAGCGAGAAGGGAACCCTCATACACTGCTGGTGGGAATAAAAACTGGTGCAGCCACTATGGAAAACAGTATGGAGACTCCTCAAAAAACTGAAAATAGAACTACCATACTACCCAGCTATCTCACTACTGTGTATCCGCCCAAACAACTTAAAACCAACAATCCAAAGTAACATATGCACCCCTATGTTCATTTCAGCACTATTGACAGTAGCCAAGACATGGAAGCAAGCCAAGTGCCCATCGACCGATGATTGGATAAAGAAGATGTGGTATATATATACAATGGAATACTACTCAGCCAGAAAAAAAGACAAATTCATCCCATTTGCAATAACTTGGAAGGACCTAGAGGGAATTATGCGAAGCAAAATAAGCCAGTCTGAGAAAGATAAACACCAGATGATTTCACTCCTATGTGGAATATAAACAGGTACTTGGACAAAGAAAACAGCTCAGTGGTTACCAGGGAAAGGGGGGTGAGGGGTGGGCACAGGGGGTGAAGGGGAGCACTTATGTGGTGACAGTCAAGAAATATTGTACAACTGAAAGAAAAAGAAAAACTCCTGGATTTTAGCAATCCTGAGCCCCAAAAGGAACTGAGCCACCTTAAGAAAATAGTGGAGTACTCACCAAGGACAACGCCTTGAACCCCCGGGGACAGAGCCTTGAACCAGGTGAACAAAGTCCCTACTTGGAGAGAGCAAAGCCTCTCTCGATCCTGAATAAAGTCTGAGAGCTCAAAACGCAAGGAGAGCTGAGCTCACAATCCGAGAGGAGACTCACCGAACCGAAAACAGGAGCGACTAACAGAACCGATGAGCACAAGCGGGTCATTGCGGAACCTCGCTCCATTCTGGGGGTCATGCTTCTCCAAATCGCCTCCTTTGGATCCTACTTTGCTGACACCATATATGTCAACTTAAAAAGAAATTCACCTGTTATTTTACCTTCAAAGTTAGTTTATTTCAGAATAGCCAGAAGAGTTGCAATTTTGGATGTGCATGTTCGATGAATCATATGCAAATCCAGAAAACAAAGAAGGGGAGCTGCTTTCATAGAGAAAATGGAAAGTGGGGAGGGGCTGTTCTAAACGCAAGTCCATGCGGGAAAGTAACGGTTCAGGGTGACAACGCTCGTCATTGGCTGAGCTGCGGAGTTTCTCATTGGCTGAGCTGTTGCTGAGTGGGGAGAGAAATCCTCCTGAACTAGTAAAGTAGTTTTACTTCCTTCCAGGATGCGAGGGTCTATTGCTGTCCTGAGTAATTGACTATGTGTGACAGGGTGTGAGAGCTCCCTCTGCAGGCCCTCTCGACTTCTATTTAGTTAAGGTTTCTTTTAGTAATTTCCACACTTTCCTTCCTTCCTTCCTCCTTCCTTCGTTCCTTTTTCCTCCCGTCCTCCCTTCTTTCCTTTTTTCCTTCCTTCCTCCCTTCTTTCCTTTCTTCCTTCCCTCATTCCTCTCTCTTTCTCGCTCTCTCTCCTACAACTTCCAGAACTATCTTGACTCAGAGTTGAGAATGGACATCCTTGCCTTGTTCTTTATCTTAGGGAGAAAACCTTCAGTCTTTCACCATTAATTATAATTATAGCTGTACGTTTTTCTGCAGACATTCTTTAGCAAAGTGGGAAGTTTGCCACTATTTCTAATTGGCTGAAAGTTTTCATCATGTATGGATGTGGGATTTTGTCAAATCATTTTTCTGCATTAATTGGTGTATCATGAAACTTTTCTTCTTTAGCCTGTAGAGGTGATAAATTACAATGATTGATTTTCAGATGTTGAAACAGTTCTGCTTACCTGGAATAAATCTGACTGAGTCACGGTATATAATTTTACACGTTGCGCAATTCTATTTGCCAACGTTTTGTTGAGGATATTTGCATCTAAGTTCATGAGAGAGATTGGTCTCTAGGTTTTTTTTGCTTTGTTTTTGGTACCATCTTTACCTGGTTTTGCTGTCAAGGTAATAATGGCCTCAAAAAATGAGGAAGGAATGTTCCCTCCCCTTCTATTTTCTGGAAGTGATTGTATAAAATTGGCGTTAATTCTTCATTAAGCGTTTGCTAAAATTCTCCAGTGGGCCTGAGTATCTCATACATTTCATCCTCTCTTCAAACATCCACACCTTCCTCTTGCTCGGATAATGGTCCTCCTACCTCTGTCATCTAGTTTGAAAGCCTCAGGCTGTCTGGTCCAACATGGACCAATGGCCTTGAGGAGTGGACTCCACATACCTGTTCATCTTCTTCAGCAAGTAGAGGCAGAGCCGTGCAGTTCTGTTGGGGCACCTGCACGGCTCAGCTTCCATCACTGACCCAAAGGGACCTCTAGTGACTACTGCTGGCCTGTGTTCCGTGAACACACAAATCTCTGCATAACTTTAGCAGTGATTATCTCTGGATGGAGGCATTGTGGATTCTTTTCTTGCTTCATAATTTGATGTTTTCCGACACGTTTTCCTCAGTTGAGCAGGTAGCATTTGTACATTGGTAATATGTTTAAAAGACAGATCCTCGGTTCCCAGGGGCGGGGGGATGAGAGCTGTGACGTGTGCTGTGCTCAGCCCTGTGACCGTGGAGGTGAGTCCATTACCTGCACAGAAGGTATGGAACAGACACAGCCACTGGGAGATTTTGTGCGCTGGGGACCATCCCATTCTAGTGCTCCAAATTCTGCCTGAATACCCTGCCAAAAGAAATTCTTGAAGAATAGGTGGAGGGAACACAGTAAACAGGCAGAAGGAGTCCCCATTACACACGCTTGAGGGGCCACTCACCTGTGAGTCCCAGCAGCAGAGAGTGCAGAGGTGGGTGGGCTGGGAGGCAGGGACAGGCACCCTTGTGGCCCTTGGAGCCTGCTCTGTCTGAAAGTTGTCCTGGAGACGTCTTGGGCTTTGCTCTGAGGAGAGAGCACAGTTCCTTTCTCCGCCATGTCAGTGGAAGGGGATCATGATGAGAGGAAAGGCCACGGGACTCTGACAGTTTTTCTCTACAATTATAAATTTCAATGACAAGGCTGCTACAAGCTGAGAAGTTGCTGCTGGAAATGTCCATGGTTTCCAGAGTGGAGGACGCAAACTCTGCAGGATTGTGCTCCTTCCTAAGCCTTGTTTCATCTGAGGTTCTCCCCAACCCCATAGATCTTGACTATCTAGGAGCCCCTGGGATGTGGTGTGGGCCAGGGGCTTCTGGAACCTCGTGATGGGCAGGTGTGGTCCGCCTTCTGCATGAGCCCAACTTCTGGGCCTCACTGAGCTGCACAGCTACAGGGAGGAGCCTGGATCTCTATGGCCTCGCTCTCTGGCAGTAGAGTTGAACTTTACAGGAGACCCCTTCCCTCACTCCAGAGCTGTCAGAGGTAAAAATGAGCACTGATGCAATGTCTTCTGTGGGCTGCTGGTTTTGCTATCGACCCCTGCATACAATCCAGGAAGTTGTCTCCTTCTCTTTCCTGCAGAGGAATTGTGTTTGACTAGGAAAGAGGTGAGAGCTTTGGAGATTGTGATGATTTGTGCTTTAGACGGTGGAAGAGCCTTCAGGGAAGGTGAGGCTGGGGGGAAATTCTCCAAGAGGGAAAGCAACACACCTATAAACACACTTGGAAAGGTGAGGGCTGTCTCTCCACTTTGTGCTGTGTCTGGGGCCACCTCCTGAGAAAGGAAGTGGAGGACAGGAGAAACAGTCTCAAAAAGAGAAAGGAAACAGCATGTTGGCCTCCTTCTTTTTCACCTCTGGGATGGTCTCTACCCAAGCACAAAGCTTGTGTCCAGGAATATGTTGGCCAACACTCAGCTGGTGACCCTTTAATGTCCAAGCATCCATAGTCAAGCACTGACTGCTATGGCTGTTCCCCATTGCTTCCTTTTGACCCCTGCCTCCTCCTCAGGGACTGACTGGATGTCAAGGCCAGGAGAGGTGTTAGAACAAGAGGAGAATGCAGAGCAGGCCCAATCATCCTCTATGAGGTGGCAAGACTCCTCCTCCCCTTGTGAGGTCTCCATTCTATCCTGTTGTTCTGAAATGATGAATTCCATTCTGGGAGGCCCATCCATGGCCCCTGCTGAGAACCAGACAAACCCTTTGCTTCAGCCTCCATCATATTACCCTTCCTCACAACTCCAGCAATCTTCCCACCTTCCATCAGACTCTAACCTCTTTGGAGGGTAGGGTTTTTAGTACCTTGATGGTCAAGAGCATTGGATTTGGAGCCAGGTACAATGTAGGTTCCCTATCCTGAATCCACCCCCCAGTAGCTGAATAATCTTGAGTCTGTCATCCAGATATATGTATCCTTTGATTTTTAAATCTTCATTTGTATATCTCAAATATTTAAAACCGAGTTCATAATCTGCACTCAGATATTCTCTTCTCCCATCCCACCCCGTGCAGTATGTGGAACGTTATCTGTGCATTTGGCAAAACCGAGAAGGGACAGATGATCTACACCCTCGCTCGTGCACTCACATCTGTCTCCTCCCAGACCCGGTTAGTTCTACCTCCTAAATCCCTCCTGATCATCTCTTACCTGAATGAAAACGATTACCTCTTAGCCAGGCTACCTCCATCTTCTTTCGTCCCCTGTAATCTCTTGCTCCTAATTTATCCAGAGTGGTCTTTTATAACACAAATCTGACTACTCCCCTCTCTGGCCTAAACACTTCTGTGGATTCTCATTGCTCTTAGTATAGTAAGACTATATGGTCTATGGTATATGGTAGTATAAACAATCCCACCTTCCATCACTTCTTGGCCCTTAGGGACAAAGGAGTACCCACTTTTTCTGGTACTCAACTCAGCCTCTTTCTCCCAGGTCGGATACCTTGGGAAATAGACTCTGAGATGAAGATTAACAAGCAGTTCATTTTTCAGGAGGATCTTTAGCATCAATATCTGTGAAAGGAAGGAGAAGAAAGCAGAATTGGGAGAAGGAGAAGTCGAGATGCCATGAACTCCCAATGAAGACCTCAGCTGCCTCCCATGGAGCTCTAGTGCTGGGATGCTCCTTCAGAGTGTCCTGAGCTGGAGTGAGAGCTCTGGGCCTTCATATAACCATGTGGATGAGTCATGGTTTGTGGCATGTTACCAGGCATGACCTTTTGCAAGCTAGCTCTCCTCACCTGAGGCAATTCCAAAGAGGGCTGACAGCTGAGGGCCGTCTTCTCCAGACTGGTGCATCACAACATCCACCAGGCTCTTCAGAATGTCTTCCACCTGGGAATCCTTGGACTTAGGACAGGTAGTAATTCCCCCACTGTGAGATCCTCAAACAACCTCACCTCACCCGGGTGAGACAAAGTTCTCGGGGCCCACTTGTTCTGACCTGCGCTTTACCAATTGGAGACATATAGGATGAATATTATGGAGGACTGAGGAGCAGCTTCCTCTGGGATCTCTGAGTGCCTGGGTCTGGAGTGAACTCTGGCAGAGGACAGAAGAATGAGGACAAGGAAGCTCAGACTTGTGGAGCAAGATAGAACTTGGGTATATTAACACAGAAGTCTCCCACATTTCCTTGTGTTGTTCCTCTAGAAGGTGCAAGAAGCAGAGATCCAACTGAGGACAAAATGGTGAATTTTCTTTAATAGATTTTTTTAAAACAACTTTAGATTTACAGAAAAATGGGGCTATAATAGGGAGTTCCTATATACCGCTGCATACAGTTCCCCCTATTATTAACATCTTTTTAAAGTATGGTACATTAGTTTCAATTAATGAACCAGTACTGGTACATTATTGTTAACCAAGTTCATTGTTTATTTAGATTTCGTCTTAGCTGGGGCTGCTATAACAAAACACCATAGTCTGGATAGCTTATAAACAACAGAAACTTATTTCTCACACTTCTGGGGGCTGAAAGTTCAACGTCACGGTGCCAGCGTGGTTGCAAGAGGCCCCTCTTCCAGAATACAGATTTCTCATTGTACCCTCACATGGTGGAGGGGGTTAAGGAGCTCTGTGGGGTCACTTTTATAGGAGCACTAATTCCATTGATGAGGATGGAGCCCTCGTGATCTAATCACCTTGTAGAGGCCTCACCTGCTGCCACCATCACACTGGGCATCAGGATTCTAACATATGGAACTTCAGGGGGACAGAAACATTCAGATCATAGCATAATCCAACACTGTATTTATTTTTTGCTCAAATTGTTCCAGCTTTGGTCTTTGGGAGCTCTTTCACTTGGTTCCCGTATCCCTTTGACACATTCAAATCAATGAGGTTGTTTTCGTGGTGGTGGTTTTTTTTTCACTTCCTTCTTTTATAGAGGATGTTGAATTTTTCATGGGATTTGCTTGATGCTGAGGAAGATTCACCCTGAGCTAACATCTGTGTCAATCTTCCTCTTTTTTTTCTTGAGGAAAATTAGCCCTGAGCTAAGATCTGTGCCAGACCCCTCGGTTTTGTACATGGGGCACCACCACAGCATGTCTGACTAGAAGTGTAGGTCCACCTCTGGGATCCCAACCCACAAACCCAGGCCACTGAAGAGGGGCACGCTAACTTAGCCTCTACGCCATGGGGCTGGCCCCACATGCGACTTTTTAAACACAAAGAAGAGAACGTAGTCTTTAAAGAAAGGGCTTTAGAAGACAAAAGCCAGGTGATTGAATGAAGGAAAATTTTATTTTGAAACCCAACATCAAGCAGAAACTAAATCCTCGATAGAGTAGTCATTCAAATATTGTTTTAGAATGTGCTGCTCTGCTATATGACAGTCACTGTTCTGGCAACTGAGGATGCAGATAGTCCCTTCCTGGTTAGACTGACATCTATTTGAGGAAGAGACACACACACAGGCAGATCTCACTTTGCACGGCGCTGATGTGCATGAAATTCAGATGCCACAGCTGAGTTAAATAACATCAGACTCTCAACACACGATTCAAATTCCAGTTACCACAGTAAGTTTACTGTGAGCAATTCCAAACATGCAAACTTTGCCTCTAGCTCTTCTTCAGTCCACAAATCACTATGTAACTAACAGATGCTCATCACCATCAGTGACCCACCACGTGACTTCTTTCACAGTCTGCAGTGACTGATCACTGTGACTCTGTTACTCAGTTTATGCACAGACTGCAAGACACATTTTTGTATTGTCTCCTTATCTCCCTGTGTTTTCTAAAATATGTGTTTTAGAAAAGTGAATTATTGCCAAAGGAAATGGGTAACAGAGATGAAAGTGCCTTGGAGAAACAAAAAGTGATAATGCTGGAATTGAAATGCAAATAGAATGTAAGTGGAGTTATAGAAGAAACAGCTGGCGGTGGGGATGCTGACACTGATCCTGCTAGAAAGATTTCAGATGTGCAGCCTGAGGAACTCAGTGGCAACAAAACTACCACATAAAGGAGGGAAGCTCTGGTGAGGAAAAGGGTGAAAATGTCCCAGAGGCAGTGACACCACAAATTACAGGAACTTTTGTAAACATTTCACAACAGTGAGAGCACAAAGGATCAAATGTTAGAAGCTGATGCAAACTTAGAAAGGACTGTGATGGTTCACCAAGGTGCAGAAAGGACGCTCGCTCTGTATCCTAAGTTATAAAACACGAAGAAGGCAAACACTGTTCAAACTGCTCTCGATACATTTTTACAAAGAGATAAAACACTTTCATTTTCCATGTTTTTCATGTTTCACATGACAGCAATATTAGTTTTTCTATTTCTTCATTTTGCTCTACACGTAAAACTGACAGTAAGAGAGTTTGTAATGTTTCAAAAAAAATTTTGAAGTCACAGCACAATCATTATTAGTTCCATTGAGTATTGAGGTCACTTTCCATGGTTTCAGTTTGCAGGTCATTCTTACGGTCCTGCACTACCGTGCAAAGTGAGCACTGCCGTGTTTAGTATGTCAGATGGTAGTAAGTGCTAAGGAACCAGACCAATCAGGTCAAGAGGAATTGGAATGCCAGGTGAGAGAGAGGAATTGATATTCCAAATAGGGTGGTTTATGAAAGGTTCCTTTACTAAAGTGACATTTCAGCAGAGTCTTGAAAGAAGGAAGAGAGTGAACCATGCAGGTGTGTTGGGGGAGAAGCAGAGGAGTGACAGGATCTGATTTACATTTCCAAAGACTCTCTGTGGTTGAAACGGGAAAGCCAGTTAGAGACATAGCGATGGCGCAGGAAGAGATGATGGTGGCTGGGACCAGGGAGCAGTGGTGGGCGAGAAGTGTGCAGATTATGGATATAACTCAGTGGCATGCAGGGGAAGGCTTGGACAGGCTCATGAGAGCTGACTGTTACATTTTCAGGAATTTTTGAAGGTGGTTATTAAACGGTTGTTAGGTTGAAATTGTCCACAACGGGAGTGTTTTACACGACAGAAATCGCCAAGCACTACAAATCAGGTTTGTCTCTTTTACTTTTGTAGAATCAGTTGTTAAACATTTGCCATCTCACCACTGAACATAAGCATGTTGAAGGAGGAATTGAATAGGAGAAAAAAGATACAGAGAAATCAAAGATGACACCAAGGCTTTTGGACTGACAGCACGTTACCATGAGCAACAGGATTGGGAAGGATGCAAGATGATAGAAGAATTTAAGAGTTCACATCACAGAGAGAGGAGGGAAAACTTCTTTTTGGGTTTGAGGAAAGGACATTTAGGGAAAGAAGAAAGAGAATAAATTTTTATTCTTCACATCAGGATGGGGGTTCACTTGACCTCAAGAGGCGATAGAGAACCTCAATAAGGTTGTGAAGTCGAGGATAGACCGGAGCCCAGAAGACAGAAGAACTCTGGATGCATGGAATAAGGTGCTTCATGCGCAAGTCCCAAGGCGATGGATGAGAGCTATCCTGATATGGGTAGATTGGACTTGTTTCTCACATTGTAGGGAGATGAGGAGCCAGTCCCCAGAGCTAGTTCCCATGGCCACTGCTCAGGACCATGTATGAAGACCCAGCTCTGGGGGCATCGCGGACTGTGGGAAGGAACAGCAGGAGAGTGTGAGCAGGCAGGTCTCCAGGGAGGGGAGGCATGTGGAGCAGAGTCGTGGAAGCTTCTAGTCGGCTCCTTCTACTAGGCTGGGCCCCAGGGAAGGAAGGAGGCAACAGAGACTGAGGGTGGTATGTAGCAGGAGAGGAAAGAAGGAGCTGTGGGAAACATGTCCACATTTCATTATCTGCTCATCATTACGGAAGTCTTCCCTGCGTGCCTCCTCTGTCCCCGGTGCTATTCTCCTGGGATGCCTGTTATGAGAGGACAGGCAGCCATTGAAAAGGACTCTGCCACCTCAGCCTTCCTCCCCAAGGCCTGGTACCCTTCCCCATCCCTTCCACTCTGTCACTCAGAAGGTTAGAGCAGGAACAGATCTCAGAGCAGCAGATCCGGGACTTGTCAACATTGCTCTAAAATGTGGATTCTTTGCCCCTGGAGCCCCAATGTTCTAACAACTTAGAGACGGTCTCCACAGGAGCCACCCACTCAGCTGCCCCTCATTCAGCCTCTCCCTTCCCACTTCTACCACAAAACCTCTAGGACTCTGTGGACACTCTGAAAACTCTTGATCCAGCCCACCTCCTACAGGACCCCACACAGTTCCTGGGATTGAGAACCTCTTAGAGGATCCACGATACTCCTGAGGGTATTGAGGGAGATGTATCCCCTTCTCCTCATTCCACGTGGGCCCTGACTCTGTGTGACCTGTGAGCTGGCCCCTCTTACTGATTTTCCCCTTTATGGGACAGACCTTGTCCTGCCCTCCCTGCCCCACAACTTACAGTCAGGCCCTCCGCTTCCTGTGGACATAGAAGGCAAAGAGACCGATGGCCAGCAGCACCTTTGTGCCTAGGAGGAAGACAACCAGAGGGGTAGTAGACAGCTCTCGGCCTGGAAAGCAAGGGACAGGAGGAGCCATTAGAGGGGCCACACAGGAGTCATTCCCAGGCCTCCACTGACTCCATCTGAGGCCACCTGGGCCATCAGCATTCTGAAGAATTTGAACCTGCAGCCTGCCCTGCATTCAGGCTCGAGGCAGAAATCAGGGTTCAGAGGTTCCTCATTCTCACTCACCCCCTTCTCAGGCTTCCAGGGCTCATACCTCTATGGAACAGGTATTATTATCCTCATTCTCATGAGGAAACCGAGGCTCAGAGAGTTTGTGGTGGGGGGGGAGGGGTCACAAGATTAGTGGGATTCAAACCTAGGGAAACCCATCACTTTTGTCCTGTAGAATGACCCAGAGACCTTCCCTTTTGGACCAAGACAAGTCCAGCATTTCATGGTCATAGGAATGAATGTCCTCACTGTGTTCAAGTGGAGTGAGGACAGGTTTCACAGTGGGTGAGAGAGCTACAAGGCTACCCTTGTTCATACTAGGGGTGAGGCTGGATGACCGCATGTTCCCAGGAGCTGAGGAAGGCCTCAGGTAAGCTGACCTCATGAGACCTGCTGTCTGGAGAACACTTGGTGAGTCGAGGAAATGGGATCTCACGCAGGGGAGGGACTCCAACACCATCCAGCCCACTTTGAACCCTGTGAGGATGGCAGCTGAAATCTTTCTGTTTGCCCTGGAAAACTGTATCTGGAGAAGCACACTGTGGGGTTCGTTTTATTTACAATGAGCAGTTTTGCTTTTAAAATTAAATAAACATATTAACATAATTTTTAATAAATCAAATCATCCTTAAGGAAGGAGAGGAGACCTCACCCTCTTTTGCTCCTGGGGCTGTTGGAGGATGACACTTCTCATTGAGCGGCTCTCTGGGACTTTCTCTCAGGTGAAGGGAGCTGCATTGCCTGAGTTTGCACCTCCTTCTGGAGGGCAGCTCACATCAGAAAGACTGGCTGAACTGGAGTATAGAGGTTCAGCCCTCTTCTCTCCATTGAGAACAGCTCTGAAGACCCCCAGGCTCTACAGCTCTGTGAGACCGCTGAGTCTTTGTTGTGCCTGCTTTGTAGGTCAACAGCTCCCTCTCCCAGGTCTGCTCCTTCACAAATGCATGTTGATCCTGGCAGCACTCCGCAATAAGCTTCTACATTCTCATCTCCTTTTCAGAGTCCGCTTCCCAGAGGACTGACCTAGGGGAGTTCATCTGGGAGTGCTCTGGAAAGTAAATTCTAAACGCAGATTTGGAGCTGGATCACTGGGCTGGCCAAGAGGACCCCAGCACTGTCGGGAAGTGGAGCAGAGGGAGGCCTGGGCTTCCCCTCGTGGTGCAAGTGTTCAAAGTTCACCAGTTGTGAACTGGGTGGGTATGACCAGAGGTAGGGAATACTTTGGGTCAAGCATTTGAAATTCAGTTGGGAAATGGTCATTATAAGGACTGTAGAATTGCATGGCTGTTGCTGGGGCATCAGTCCTTTGGAGAAAGACAAGGAAAATTAGAGAGATTAATCCCCTGTTAAAGGTTAAGTGTGAGAGCCAGAGGACTTCCTGGCAGCACTGCAGAGTCTTATCTCCTAGAGCCATAGGGCAGAGGAAGAGGAGGATTGGGCCCAGGACATGATTATATTAGCAGAACTGCAGAGGAGGTTGAATTCTCAACTTCACTGGGACTGCTCTGCCAGAATAGGGCCCTGATTGGAAAGGACAGACCCTGAGATGTGGGACAGGCACATATTGGACAAAGCACTCAGGAATCTTAGGTGACTTCTGCGCGCTGAGGACAATACCAGCAGCACAGCTCCTTGTCTCCAAAAACAGCCTCTCCAACCACAGGAAAACATAGAGGGAAAAGTAAATTCTACATAAAACTGGATCTCAGTATCACTTGAAGAGAAAATCCTAGAACTACAAAATAACTGTGAGTTAATGAGAAATATCACCAAACCCTAGTGCACAATCGGTCACTAGGCTGCCATCCCAGCCTCACCCAGCCACCAGGAAAAGCGACAGGGCAGCTAGCAGAGGAGCCTCAGAGTTATTGGGAAATCCCACCGCCAATATTAAATCTACCTTAAATTTGAAAATGTTGGAAATGTGTCCTCCAGGTTAGAGCACAGATCATAGGAGATGGTTTAAAAGTCCACCTGACTGAAGGGTTCCTTCTTACAGAATCCTCAGAATCTGTGAATATGTTACTTACATGGTAAAAGGCATAGTCTTGGTGATTAAGTCAAGGATCTCGAGATGGGGACACCATCCTGGGTTACCGAGTGGAGCCAGTGTGATTACAAAGATCCTCATAAGAGAAAGAGGGAGACAGGAGAGTCGAAGAAGGAGATGTGAAGACAGAGTCAGAGGTCAGAGTGAGGGGTGGCCCTTACTGACAAATGTGGGCAGCCTCTAGGAGCTGGAAAAGGCGAGGACACAGCTTCTCCCCTGGTGCCTCCAGAAGTAGCGCAGCCCTGAGCGCATTGTACACTCCTGACCTCTGGAACCGTAAGGTCGTAAATTCATGCTCTTCAAAGCCCCTAAAACTGTGGTGATTTGTTACAGCTGTAATAGGACCCTAATACAAAGAGGCTGGGACATATAAAGGACAGATGTGACTAAAGGGATAGGATCAATTTAAAGTGCATAACTTCTAGGGCAAAAAGGCAAAAAGAGAAGGGAAAAGTACTGTTTGGGAGTTGAGTAGCAAAGAAAAGAAGGAAATGAGGGGAGGGAAATTTAAGGTTCTGAAAGAGAAAGAGAACCAAAAAACCTCAGAGGCCTCAGAACCTTTCTCCCACTGTCAAAACCAACCAACCCAAACTCCATTGACACACCTGGGTTATGCTGTGCTGAGAGAAGAGAGAGCCATTAAGCTAGAAATATTGTAAAATACGCCAATACCATAAAAATGGACACAAAGATGTGCATCCTCACATCAGACCCATTGCACCCAGGACTGCAGTGGCTGGAGCCCTCAGACACCCGGGGAAGCCTGGGCATGCTGCTGCAGCAGGGTCACAGGGGCATCGTGCACTTTGCTCCAGCCCCCGACCTAGACAATCCAAAAACCATGTCCAGCCTCAGTACACTAGCAAGCCTTTCGTTCAGGCACACTGAGAGCACCTGGAAGTAACAGCCCTTGTCTGAGCCCTTGCGAAGATGAACACTAAGGAGCAAACCCGGCTGGTCCAGACAGGATGGCGAAGACCCATCTCTCCCTGATCTCCCTGCTGACCCCAGAAACAACACGAGGTACCAGCACAGGAGGACTCTGGAAGGAGGACGAGGAAGCAGACTGGATGGGCCCCTGAGGACTGGAGTGAGAACACAGTCCCTGGGGGTCTAATCCCCGTCTCCCAACTGCCCAGCACAGGAGGAGACCAGGATGGCATTAGACAAAGGAGGAGTGTAAAATCAGTCATCACATTCCTGCCTCAAGAAATGAGAAAAGGAGGAACAAAAGAAACCCAAAGCAGGAGGAAGCAAATAGCAAAGAGAAGAGAAGAAATATCAATGAAATTGAAAACAGAGAAGCAGTAGAAAAAATTCCTGAAATGAAAAGCAGCTTCTTTGAAAGTATCTATAAAATTGAAAAACTTTTAGCAGGACTGATGATATAAAAAAAAAAGGAAAAGTGACACATTTCCAGCATCAGGAATGAAAGGGGAGGCATCGCTACGGACCCCGCAGACGTCAGAAGGATAATGAGGGGAGACTGTGAGCAAGCCTACAGGCGGATGTGACAACCAGAGAAAACGGACCAAGTTCCTCAAAGAGCACAGCCTACCACAATGCACTCAACATGAAGTGAATAATTTGAATAGCCCTAAACATAAAGGAAACTAAATTCATAAACTAAAACTAATGAAAAAGAATCCTCAAGACCCTGACAATTTCACAGGAATATTCTACCAAGCATTTATAGATGAAATGCTTTCATTAAGTTTATAGATGAAATTAAACCAAGTTTGGTGCAAAAAAAACAGCTATAAAAGATATTTGGGAAAATGTGAGCATATGCTCCATCTTAGATGATATTAGAGAATTACTGTCAATTTTATGAAGTGTGTGACGGTATTTGTTTTGTAGAAAAACCAGTCTCCTTAATGATATGACCACACAATAGTGGGTCCACTTGCACGCAGTTGTGCATAAATGACAAGTTATTAGTGGACACAGTTATGCAACTCTGTCGTCTTTGGGGTTAAGGGAAATTGTCTTCCTTTCCCTATCTTTACTCTTCTTTCAGGCAGGGTCATGGACACTCGGTGCCCCAGAGTTGACCCAGCAGATGAGGACAACACCCTAGAGCAGATGGAAGGAATGTGGCCCATTGAAAGGTCTTCTGGAGTAAAGACTCCTGGAAACCTGACCTGACTCCCTCTTGACATTACCTGAGAGAGAAATAGGACATATTCTGTTCATAGAAAGGGGAACTCTGTAGGTCCTTGGACAATGCCCAGCTGAGGGCATTGGTCTCTTATTAGCACCTATTTCCTGCACAGGCTGGTGGTCCCTGTTCTCAGGGACTCAGATTTACCTTGATTAGGTTAGCCCAATCTACTGGTTTAACAGCAAAAAGTCTTCAACATCATCCCCTATCTTGGTCCCTGAGCCTCTTCTGTAAAACTCCAGATCCCCAGGGTGGTTGAAGCAGGAAAAGAGATCACAGATGAACTGGCATCTGCATATAGTAAATGTGCAGTGAGTGGTTGTGATTATTACTGGTACATTATCAGAAATCAGGGGACAAAGGAGGCCGGTGGTGTGACCAGTCAGGGTCGACCAGATGTCTGGTCCAGACTCAAACCTCATGTCCTCAAGACTCTGCTTTCCAGAATTTCACAGAGTAGTAAGTGCAGAAAGCTGCTGGGGGGATATTACTAATGTGGATGGAAAAATTTAGGATGGAATAGAGACTAGGCAGAAGGTAGAAAGAAGAAGGAGGAGGGAGGCAGGCTGACATGGGTGGTGACGTCATCATTGTCAGGTGAAGAAAGCAGGAGGCAGGATGCTGTGAACAGGATGAGCTCCCTCCCTCCCTTCTTTCTTTACTGTGTGTTTATGTCAAGCATCTATAAAGATATGCACCAAACTCTTACCAGCACTGACTCTTGGAGGGTGGATTTAGGGGAGGGGAGCTCAGTTCCAAACGGGACTTTATATTTATAGACTTCTAGATTATTCTATAATAAGCAATAATTGCTACTTTTAACATTTAAAGAAACCCAAAATTTAAAAAGAACCACGTCAGTTGGAGTGGAGGGCACCAGGGGTTCTACCTGTGTCCTGCTCCTTCTGGTGGGCAGAGGCCTTCAGCGTATGCTGTTTGCTGATCGCCGGCTGTCCGTCACGCTCCACCTGGCAGGTGAGCACCACATCCTCCCTGTGGGTAGATGAGTTCACCAGCAGCCAGCTTGTCCAGTTAAACGTCCCATCCTTGTTCTCTATGAGGGTTGAGGCTGTTTCTGTTCGGGTCACGTTTCCATTCTCCAACCAGGTCAGCTTTAGGCGCGGAGGGTAGAACTTGTTCGCCTGGCAGGTGACGTTCACCAGGTTCCCTGCCATGGGATGTTGGGAAACCTCCAAGGTGGGCGGAACTGAAACAGCACAGGGCAGAAGCTCTGACCTTATGGAACAGACAGATCACAGAGGAGGGCTCCCTAACTGACCTGCCACTACAGATGGGAATCACCCGGGACAGTGCCAGGCATGCAGCAGGTGCTCAAACGGTGAAGGTACTCTCTGCATATGAATGCATCACTAAGCACAGTGCCAGGCACACAGTAGGTGCTCAGGGGCTAGTAGCTCCCGTTAGGGTTACAATGAGTGAAATCAATAAGCACAGCCCTTGGCATGCAGTAGGAGATTAATAACGGTAGCGAAATATATAAAATCACCAAGCACATAGGGGCTGGGCTTAGAGTAGGTGCTCAGTAATTGCAGATGTTATTGGGAAAGTAGATGACATCACCTAGTACAGAGCTTGGCACATGGCAGGGGTCCACCTGGCAGCCACCACTAAAACATGAGTGAGTGACCAGCATATCCAGGTGCCTGGTGATTGGGAAGGACTGTCAGGAATTGGAATCAAGGCAATTCAGGCCTGGAGGAACCGGCAGGGGGAGGAGCTGGCTTGGGGGCAGGTGCGGGCTTGGTCTGGGGGTGAGAGGCATCTACCTCGGATGGTCTCAGACAAGTTGGCCGTCCCACGAAGAGGAGGGGCCCCCTGCAGGGTGATGTGGGCCACCTCCCAGATGACCTAGGAGCAAACATCCCCCAGGGCCAGCACCACCTGGGCTGTGCTGGAGACGCTGTAGGACACACTGTCTCCTTTTGGGTCTACATTGGTCTGGGAGGCTGGGAGCTCATTGCCATTTTTGAACCATTTCAGGGTGATGTTTCTGGGGGAGAAGCCGTGGGACTCGCAGGTGAAGCTCCCTGTCTGCTTGGGCAGGGCCCTCTCCGTGGGGCCTGAAAGCACGGTGGGGGGGGGGGTGGGGGGAAGGTGGGTAGAGCATTTGGCTACAAAAGGAGCATTTGTAAACAATAAACATAACTGTGACTATATCACTGATCATAAGTGTGTGACACTGTTAAGAAACTTCACAGGCATTACTTTTCACTCCTCCTATTAGTACTGGGAGGGCGGGTCATCCTCATCTTACAGAGGAGGACAACAGGCTCCAGAGGTGGACTCTGACTAAGGGGCAGGGGCATGGAATTTCAGGCCTGAGTTCATGGTCCACCTCTTGCTGTGCCAGGTAGATTCCCACCAATCTGGGCACAGGAACACAATTACTAGTGGGTCTCACTCTGTATTAACTGTTCCTGGCTGGCCTCTCCTGGAAACCTTACTCACTTCAGAGAAAGCGTTTACAGGAGTGAACGCATGTGAGCAGTGGCACAGCGGGACCACCATGAAACCTGGAACCAGGCTGCCAGGTGGATGAGAGGAGTGGCTGGGGCACATCCCAGCTCCTCCTCTGTGAGATGGGGCAGCTGGCATTTCTCCTTGCCGGGTTACAGTGAGGGTTAAATCAGGCAGTGGAAGCATTTTTGCTTTCAGTAAAACAGAAGATGCTTCACAAAAATAAACAAACATAGATGTATCTTTAACCTAGACTTAATTCATATCCAGAGCTCTCCCTGCAGGTTTTTATGAATTTACTCCATAGTTTTCTTTCTTTCTACAAATGATCCAGCAGGGTCTAACTGTGCCAATGCCTAAATTTGAAAGAGTGGGGGTGACAGGATGTTTTTCTGAATCTGGATTCTTCTTCCGTGTCAGTTTTGGGTTGATAACAAAGATCACCGAAGCTGAGAAAGCCAAAGGCGGTTAATCTCTTAATTGTTGTTAAGTCAGAAGAGACACAGACACAGGCCTATGGAGCAGTGACCTGAAACACACAATATTCAGTGAGTCTAAATGAGGGCAGCCTCTCCCTATAAACGGGTCCTATAGAGTGTCTCCAAACTGTCAATTATTACCCAACACCTTCTGCAAGAGTCACAAATATTTGCCTTTGTGAATAATAAACTTGCTCCCTAAAACTTGTTAAACATTTTGAGGACATATTAAGGAGCTGTCACTTGAATAAGTCAAATCATAAAAACACCAGCAGCTCTGATGCCCCAAGACAGATGAGATGCTGTGATCCATCACCTTTTGTGGAGAGCATCTTGGGAGGCTGAGCCTGCCTGTTCCCTCTGGGCCCCTCAGCTCCTTAATCCACCCGCCAGTCCCTTGAGGGAGGCCCGACTATGGTCCCATTTATGGGATGACGCTCAGAGAGGAACAGGGCTGGCCGAGGGCGCACAGCAGGTAAAGGGCAGAGCGCATCTCACCACACACACGGTTGATTCATTTTAGCGTCTCTGTTTTTCATCCTGAGCCTCAGTGTCTGTTTCTCTACAAAGTGGATCAAGACACCACCCTAGAGATGGGGGAGGATGTGTGTAAAACCCAGAGCCTGGTGTATAGTAGGTGCTTAATAAATAACACGTGATTGTTATCATACGATGTGGTCATGTCTGGTTCTGAAATAACCTACTAGTTCTAGGTAAAACAAAAGCTTTGCAGAAACACCAAGAAAAGTCTTGCACCCTGCTCGTGCAGCTGCCATGAAAAGCTCAGTAGAAACCCCTGATATATGATTCTCTCCCTCTTTTTTTAGTGATCCCCTCAGGAAACAAATTTGGCGAACTGGCTTTCAAAACACACAGGCGATCACAGGCGTTTCCTGCAGATCAGCTCTTTACAGAAAACTGAGCATCTGAAAGGCTGGAGGACCGATTTCCGCAGGGCCGTCTTGGTGGGTGGAGGCAGGGGACGCTGCGAACTGAGCAGGAGTGTTTGCAGGGATCCCAGCCTGTGAGACACGTGTGTTTAGAGATGGGAAGGTTTCCCCAGCGATGAAGATCGGATTTGAACGGGGTGTCTGGGCTGCCCGTCCTCAGGGTGGAGAGGGCAGGAAGCTGCTCTCAGCCCCAGGAGCGCCTGGGAGGGGTCCTGACACTCCACTCGGCCTTATGTTCTTGGGCTCCGAAGAGCTGTCAGGGGCACCTGCTATTCTGAGGCACCCACAGCCCAGAAGCTGCTCTCGCAGCCCCAGCGGCAGGTGGAGCCACCGTTGTCAGGGGAAGAAATACAGCTTTTCCTCTGTGACCTCAGAGAACATCTAGCTCAGGGCTTCTCTGTCCTGGCTGTGCGTCCGAAAACTCTGGACTAGTTACAAACTTCAGCTGCCCAGGCCCATGTCTGATCAACGAAGGCAGAATTTTCAGGGTGGAGCAGGAGCTGGGGATGTTTGTCAACATTTCCCAGGGTTTTTCTAATGAGCAGTCAAGGTTGAAAGGCACCCAACCCCAGCCCCCAAACCCTGTTTGTTCTTGAGACCTAGAGAGGAAAGTGATCCTCCAAGGTCCCACGGCTTCACACATCACAGCTAACGCTGATGGAACATTACTACACACCAGGCACTGCTCTGAGCACCGTGAGTATTCCTCCTTCAGCCTGGCTGCTCTGTCAGGTCGGTACCATCAGTGACAGATGAGGACACTCAGGCCCAATATGGGGAGTGATCTGTCAGAGGTCACAGAGCTGGGAACTGGCAGAGCTGAGATGTGAGCCCAGGCAGACAACCCGGCCCATGCTCTCAACCATCGCACACTGATGCTCTGTGACACCCAACACCACCACATGGCGGCCTTTCTAGAAGTCTTCTCCAAACTTCACAGACCCCTCGTTGGTGGCTGTGATTACCCCACTTCACAGATTGGAGACTGAGGACTCAGGGAAGCTGACTCGTCCAAGAACACACAGTTCTGGGGTGACAACACCCATTGCTCACCAAGGGTCTGTCTACTCTCCAGGCTCCTGTATCACTCATCGCATCCTGCAGAGGCTGTGTGATCATCCGCCTTCTACAGGGGAGGACACTGAGGCCCAGCAGAGGGCACTGGGTCCCAGCCTTGACGTCACGCCTCTATTTGGGGGTGATGCTCTGTGCTGGCTGATTTACACAGAGCGCCTCAGATCCTTTCAACTCTCCTAACAGGAATCCAGGATTATCCCCATTTTACAGTTGGGGAAACTGAGGCTGAGAGAAATGAAGGGACTGTCTCCTCCCCCCACTGCATCCCAGGGGGAATCTCCTGTGAACCCCAAGGTTTCATGTCCATCACAGGGCAAGTGCCCACCTCCCTGAGCCCCCATGCTGACCCTCCCTCTCCCTCTGGGATTCCTGACTTCAAGCATTCACACGGAAGAGTCCCTTCAGAGTGCCCAGGCCAGTGACCCTGCAGCAATAAAGGGAGGACACGGGCTCCTGACAGCTGGTCTACAATGTGACCTTGCTCTCGCAGGGCCCCCGCACCCCTAGGAACTGCCTCCTCCTCGTCCTCAGTCTGCAGAGTCAGGAACGGGCTGCACAGTGTTGCTGGGAGTGCGGGCCCCTCTCTGCTCGTCCACACGGCCCTTCCCAGAGCTGCTCCTGCAGGCTGCTCAGTGAAGGAGCAACATCACCACACTGGGGGAGACTCCTGAGTGCTGTGATGTATGCTGAGCCCGGTGTTTTAGGAACAGGCTCAGCCCATCATGAGACGCCTGCAGGATCTGTCTGACCTGGGGGTGGAAAGCTAACCCTACTTCCCACATAGGACTTTAAAAAAAAACCGTGTATAGCTGAAGAACAGAGCAATGCGAGATTTTGAGGAGAGGGTTGGAGCTTTCTCCACACTGCGACAAGCACAGCGGGGTGCTGCAGAGCAGGGCTGTGAGTCAGGCTGCTGGGAGTTCAGCCTTGGCTCCCCTGCCTGCTCAGGTCAGGTCCCCTCTCTGAGCCTCAGTGTCCTCCTCTGTTAAAGAGCTACAGCTGGCCCCTCCCTCACAGCACTGGTTCTAAGAGTAAGTGCTGTGATGGAGACACAGGTGTGGCCCACTGCTGCTGCCTGTCCCCTCTGCCTCCCTCCTTTCTCATCCAGGGCATCATCAGGGCAGCGGCTTGGGGAAGAGGAGTGAGCCCTCTACTAGGAGGCAGCAGGTCTGAGTGGCGGTGCAGCCACTTACTAGCTGGGATCATCTAGGGAAGGGAGACACCTTTGGGAACTTCAGCAATATCTGCAAAATCAGGATAAAGCCAGCTTCCCTGTCTATATCTGGGGTGTTGGGAATACGAGGGAAATCTTTCAATACACGCACAAATTAAAATACACCCTCTGACCTACAATTCCCCCTCCAGTGGCATCTCCTACCTGAATAGGTGGTGCATGGACAAGGTTATCCCCTGCAGGGCTGTTTTAATAGCCAAGGTTGGGAACAACTTATATCCATGGACAGAAGACTAAAACACAAAGGATGCGATCTCCACACAAGGGAGCGTTATGCAGCTGTTGAAACACTGGGCAGCTCTGGGTGCTGGTATGGAATGCTTGACCGGGGATGCCGTGGCTGAAGTTTCAGAGAGGTTCCTAATTAACTCGGGCCTCAGGTCTGAATGAGGGGCGTTCTGAACCTTTGTGAAACTGATGGAAAGGAGAAGACTGGCTCCCTGTTCTGCTGTTTGCTGCAAGGACTTTTTATTCACGCCTACTACGCACCAGGCACTTTGAAAGAAAGAGTGTCCAGCGATGGGCAAGATGGAATGATGGAGTCTGCCTGAATCAGATCAGCTTCTGGAAAGATCCTTTCATTCACTGGAAATGTGACCATGGGCTAAGTCCTCCATCACCTCTTGGCCTGAGGCTCCCCATCTCTACATGGAGGTTGGGCTGGATGGGTCCTAAACGCCCTTCCTGCACTGACATTCTGGAATTCAGGATCCTGGGCCTCTGGCAGAAACCCTAGATGAGCATCTTTGCTGCCTCAGCAAGGAAGCCCTAAGTCACTCACATGGGAAACCTGTTCCCTGGGTGAGGGACATTCTGAGACGACCCAGCTCTGCCCAGAGCCTTCAGTGACTGTGTGAGTTGGTCCCTGAATCATGAGTGTTTTATGGACAGACACACAGCAGACACCCAACGTGTGCATCTCCTCCAGCCAGGCTGTCAGAATAAAGAGTGAGTCTGTGCCTCTTAGGGATTCTTAGTGTGATATTTCTGAAGATGAAATGAAGAATCATACGTTCTCCCCTCCGTGCCCTGCGAGGATTTCTCCTCACAGAAAGGGAAGAGAACGTGAGCTTCTTGGGCAAAAAGTCTTCACCTGCTGTGTCCGCTGCTGCTTCCCCAGCACTGATAGCACAGCCTGGCACACAGTAGGTGCTCAGCAAGTGCTGAGTAAAGGGAGACTCAGCCACAGTGAGGGGCACTCTCTGGAGCCAGGGCGAGGTTCTTGTGACTGGGCGGTTCACTCAGACTTTCAGTTCCCTCGTCCCTGGATCCAAAGGGCTGGACGGGATTGGAAAAGGCAAGAGCTGTGGAGCCAGGCAGATGGTGGTTCCAGACTCTTCCCACATTTACCAGCTTTGGGGCCTTGAGCAACTGGCATGCCCTCTCCAGGCCTCAAGTTCCCTGATCTATAGAAGAGGGTGAAATCAGATCATGAGTATAGACACCCACTGCCGTGCCTGATTCCTGTTGTTACTCAAAGAATGGAGGGCGTTGTTTTTGACATGTTGTCACACACCAGGGGACAAAGGAGGCCCACTCTGTACTCACCACTCACGGTGAGCTGGGTGCCTGGTCCAGACTTAAAATCCTTGTCAAGTTTCCCTTTCTGGAACTTCACACAGTAGTAGATACCAGTGTCTGCTGGGGTGATGTTTCTGATGCGGATGGAAAAGTTCCTGTTGTTTTTCTTTGTGTGGTCTGAAACAGTTGTCACTCGGGGGAAGTGGCCTCCTTTGAAATTGTAGATTAACTTCCGGCCTGGCCCTTTCCCCCTGAACCACTTGACGGGCCCCTCGGGGTTCAGGGAGGTCATAGTGCAGCGCAGAGTGGCCGTCTCTCCAGCTGCGACCGACACTGACTTGTCAGGCTGATTCACCTGCAGCTCCTCACCTGCTGCTCCTGGGGGGAAACAGACATTATTTATTCATCCTTTCGTGATCCTGCAGTTTTCTCAAGTGTTTTTCATTAACAGCTCTCCCTGACTGAGTGCACACCGTGAGCCAGCCTTGAGCTCAGCACATTGCATGGACACCACGTGTAACCCTCATAACAAGGCTGGAGGTGAGACTACCACAAATGAGAAACCGAGGCACAGAGAGGTTAAGTAATGTGGCAGAGAGTGGGTGTGAGGGCCTGAGCCCTCTCTGGGGGTTTCAAGCTTCACCAAATACTTTTGGCTGTCCACTTTCTTTTTCTTTAAGATTTTATTTTTCCTTTTTCTCCCAAAGCCCCCCGGTACATAGTGGTGTAGTTATAGCCGTCGGTCCTTCTAGTTATGGCATGTGTGATGCTGCACTAGCGTGGCCTGATGAGCCGTGCCATGTGTTCGCCGAGGATTTGGACCAGCGAAACCCTGGGCTGCTGAAGCAGAGCGTGCAAACCCAACCACTTGGCCACAGGGCCGGTCTGTCTATTTTTTTTTTAAAGATTTTATTGGCTGTCCACTTTTTGGCCTCACAGCATGTTGCATTTCTGACCGTTGCATTGAGTGGGATCATGAGACTTTTTAACTAATTAATTAATTATATTTTATTTTTAATTAATTTGTTTTGAGGAATATTAGCCCAGAGCTATCATCCGCCGCCAATCCTCCTCTTTTTGCTGAGGAAGATTGGCCCTAGCTGACATCTGTGCTCATCTTCCTCTGCCTTATATGTGGGACACCTGTCATAGCATGGCTTGATGAGCGGTGCAAGGTCCATGCCCAGGATCCGAACTGCTGAATACCGGGCTGATGAAGCAGAGCATGTGAATTTAACTACGCCACCGGGCCAGTCCCACATGAGACTATTTTAGACCATTGAGTTACAAGCAGAAGTGATGAAGAAATTTTGTGGGATAAGCATTTAACTGCAAGAACCTCTATGCATCAAGTTCCCTCTTATGCAGAGATCCACATGCTCATGATGCCTCTGCTCCACCAGCCTGGATCCTTGATTGAGTGATGAGCGGAGCTCCCAACACACAAATGAACAGGTGGTTTAATTAAGAAGTAAAACATTGTTTCAAGTTCCTGGGATTTTTTATCCATAACATAATCATTTTATATTACTTCCCTAATCCTGCTGAGTAACCAATTACCCAAAACTTAGTAGCTTAAAACAACAGAAATTTATCATCTTATACTTTTGGAGGTCGAAGTCCACAAATTGGGGTTACAGGGCTGAAATCAAGGTGTCAGCCAAACTTCATCTCTCCTGGAGCTTCTCTTCCTTGTGCTTCCAAATTCTAGAGGCTGTCCACGTTCCAGCCATCATGGTTCCCATCTTCCTGCCACTCCAGCCTCTTCCTTCCATTGTCACTTGTTCTTCTCTACCTTTGACTTTCTTCCCTCCTTCTTAGGAGAACCCTTGTGATCCAATTGGGCCAACTTTGAAAATCTAGGATAATCTCCCCATATCAAGAGTCTTAACTTAATCACTTCTGCAAAATGCCACACAAAGTAAAAATATTCACAGGTTCTGGGTATTATGAAATGGACCGCTTTGGGGGGCCACTGTTCTGTCCACCACACAGATTTCTGCTGACTATTTCGGAAACCAGTTTCCATAACAAAAACCTATGTAAATGGCATTGACACACAGGTTGAATGACAAGGCAACATATTGGAATCTGATAGAAGGGCAATTCAAGTAGTGCACTGATGAAACAGTAACTAAAATAAAACTAGAAATCAATAAGAGAAGGAGAACTGGAATATTCACAAATACGAAGAAATCAAACAACCCACTCTTAAAGAAAATCCATAGCCAAAGAAGAAATCACAAGGAAAGTAGAGAATACCTTGGGACAGATGAAAACAAAACCACAACGTGCCAAAACTTATGAGATGCATTGAAAGCAGTGCTAGAGGGAAATTGATAGCTGTAGCGGATACATTAAACAAGAAGAAAGACCATAAATCAATAGTTCAACTATATAGCTTAAGAAATTAGAAAAAGACGAGCAAAATCAACTCAGAGCTAGTGAAAGGAAGGAAAAAACAAGGGTTAGTGCAGAGCCTGATAAAATATGAATAACAGCAGAGAAAATTAATTCACCAATGCACTACAGGCTCATAGATCAGCTCCTGGCACATAGTAGGGACCCAGGAAATGTTTGTATGATGTGTGAACTGCCCAGTGTGACACCTGCCTAAAAACCTGAAGTCTATCTTAAGTGGGTGATCTCTATGGAAACTTTGTCAGATTCTGAGTTTCCCATGGGGGTGACTTCATGAAAAACAGGAGGAAATTGCATATACACAAGACGCAGAAAGGCCACTGGGAGAAAACGACAAACCCGCTTTCCCACAGCACCTTTCCCCACAGCCAGTGGCAGAAGCTGCAGAAATCTCATGGGATGGAGGTGGGGTAATGGTTAAATCTGCGAGCTCTGGATCAGTTGCCTGAGTTCAGATCATGGCTCCACCATTGACCCTTGAGCGACCCTGAACTCTCTGTGCTCCTGTTTTCTCATCTGTAAGGTAGAGGGGACCATAGAATCTACCTTGGATATAATGATCTCATGAGGTAACAGCTGTAGGCGTTTCCAACAGCGTCTGGACATGGGGAGAGTTCACGAAACTGAAGTGATTACTCATTAGATTCCTGAGGGATGGAGTCTTCAGCTGACATTAGATGATATGGATATGGACATGGATATAATTTAGACACAGATCAGATAGGCAGGAGTCTCTGTATCTCTGTCCTCCTCTCTCCCCCTCCCCTCTCTCCAGCATGGAATAGAGACTCCAAGATAGTAACGCATGAGTTTGCTTCTCTGAGGAGTGTGGGGAGCATAAGGATAAATTTAGAGAAGCAGGTGGGATGTTGGCTGAGACAGAAAGTTAAACGTCTGTTCAATGTGCATTGCATGTAGACTGAAAATGATATGAAGAAAGCAATAAGGAAAGTCTTTTCGAAAATCCCGTGTGTGTGTACAATTCCTCACACTCACTCATATAGACACAGACACACATGAATACATACGTTCACAAATAGACACAAAAGTGTGGCCTAGCATGCTGGCAGAGAAGATTGTTTTGAGGATTAAATTAACTTATAATTCATATCAAAAGCTCGGTAAAAACAATTGCCACAGAGGAATCACCCAACACATGATTAACACAGGGCTGTGAGCACACACAGCAGAAGTGGACTCTGCTGACCTCACAGTGCCATGATGCTGATGACTATGATTCTGTTAGCTCCTCTGTGCTTTCTGATTTCTCTACAGTTAGCGTGGTCTGAGAAGCTGAGCAACATAACAGGGTTAAAGGAAAGAACTGTGGACCCGGTTGACCCGTCCTTGAATCCGGGCTGCTCCACGGCCTTAACACACACAGTTCTCCTTGCCGCTGTTTGAAGCATCATCTGTTTTGACGCCTCTGGCAACCAGCTGCAGCTGATGGATCCACAGAGAAAACACTCAGATCCCTGATTTCCTGCTCTCAGATGACGCCCAGTCCTGTGTCCTCCCGTGGTAGCTCTGGGTGGTGTACCCGGGTTTACCTGGAGGCCCTAAAAGCCCAGGGGCAGAGGGAGGGGATTCTACCCCAAGGAATGCTCACCTGTGAGTCCCAGCAGCAGAGTCAGCAGCAGGCAAGGAGGAGGGCGGTGGATCCGGGAGGCAGGGCCGGGCATCTTGGAGGCCTGAGGAGCTGCTCTGTCACAGTGTGTGTGCTGGGGAGAACCCTCACTTCTGTGCTCTGTGGAGGTGAGAGATGGCCCACCTCCCGTGACATGAGAGGAAGTGCCTATGATGGCGTGACATGATTGTGGCAGTAACTCACTCTTAGATTCTACACAGTTCCTGCTTCTGGAGTGTGAGATAGGAGTCAGGCAGAGAAGGCGGCTAAAAGATGAGGAGTCACTCATCTTACATTTTCAGAGAGACTAGGACAGGCGTAGAAGAAATAATGCATCCTTCCTTCCTGGGCCTCTTTTCTCTCCACTGGGCCCTTCAACCCATCTTGAGGTCTTCAAGGAGATTCCCCATTTGCGAGTCCCAGGCCAGGAAGGATCTATGGTTACGGGCTGTGTCCCAAACTCCCAAGCCCAAGATCCTAGGATGTGGCCGGTTGTGGGCTCTTTCTGCACCAGCCTCAACTGAGAGCTACTCAGCTGGAGGAAGGAAGAAGGTTTGCCATTTTCTGCTCAGCTTTGGGATGGAACCAGGTCTATTCCTGAAATGACTCCCTGTTCCAACCCTTTATTGGTGTAACTGGTGAAACTTAGCCCAAATGCGCAGTGCAGTGTGGACCTCAGAACGTGCATGTGCCTGCAGCCAACAAAGGGAGTCCTTTCCTGACTTCTTGCAGGAGAGCAAGTGGGTCACATGACCCAGCAATTAATATTTCAGGCATTTATCTCAAAGAAATGAAAACTCATGTCCACACAAAAACCCGTGCACAAATGTTTATAACAGCTTTCTTTGTAATAGAAAACTAGGATCAACTCAAATGTTCAATAATAAGTGAGTAGTTAAATGAACTGTCTTGCATCCGTTACAAAGAAACACGACTCAAAAATAAAAAGGAGTAAATTATTTATATGTGCAACAACTCGTAAGTTTCTCAAAGGCATTATGTTGAGTGAACAAAGTCAATCTCAAAATGTCACATACTGTAAGATTCTACTTATTTAACATTCTTGAAATTATAGAGATAGAGAACAGATTGGCATTTTCCAGAGATCTGGTATGGCGGGGATGGGTGTCACTCTAAAGGGCCAGCACAAGGAGGACCTTGTGGTCATGGAATTGCTCTGCATCCTGAGATGGTGGTGGTCACACAAACACACACATGAGAGGCCCAACCTAAGCAAAAGCTGGGAATGTTACAAGATTCAGCCACAAATAACAATCTCATAGTCATTGTAACATAGACATTGATTAGTAAGTTATCCAAGATTGTAGTATAATTAGATTCGAATGATGGGGAATAGAAAGTGTGCATGTGTGGTTTGAGGTCAGGAGTAACAGAACATTGTATCCCCACCTTCTATAGTGTGAAGTCAGTAAATAACATCTAAGAGTGAGAAATCAAGAAGTAGCGATATAAGCAGGCTGTATGCAATATGGCAGTAAAATCTAGAATAAACAGTTAAAAGAGTCGAGAATAGTTGCCTCTGGGAGGTGGATAATGATGGGAGGTTAGGGAGACTCCAGTTTCCATGTGTAGAACTCATAGACTATTTAACTCTTTTAAACCATGTGCATATGTAACTTTGATAAAGGGGGAAACTAATTTTAGATAATTAGATTAGTGTTCTCAGAGGTACACAGAAAAAGAATGCTCATACTATTAGAATTAGTAAGAGAGTTTTATAAGATTGATGCTTAAAACTCAATGACAATCCTATACAGTATTCAAAATCCGATGAAAACAGTATAAACACTTTTAAAGATTCCACAAACTAGAAAGCATTATAGATAGCTCTAAGTAGGGACGCATGAGGGGAAACCTGTAAACCTGTGAATCAAAGGTCATAAAGGAGAACCTAAATAAATAGAAGTGTCCGTGAATGGGAATCCTCAATATTAGAAAGATGTCAGTTTGCCTGAATATATATATAAACTCAATGCAATCAAATAGTAACTATAAAAGGGTTTCAGGAAACTTGAGAAAGTGATTAAAAAATGCGTTTGGGTCAAGAATAGCCACAATAGTTTTAAAACCAGAAAATGTGGGAAGATTTTCCCAAAAGAGGTATCAAAACTTATCACAGGGACCGTCCTGGTGGTGTAGTGATTAAGGTCGAAAGCTCCACTTGCACAGCCCGGGGTTTGCAGGTCCAGATCCTGAGGGCAGACCTACACACCGCTCATCAAGCCACACTCTGGTGGCATCGCACATATAAAATAGAGGACAACTGGTGCAGATGTTAGCTCAGGGACCATCTTTCTCAAGCAAAAAGGGGAAGATTTGCAACAAATGTTATCTCAGTTCCAATATTCCTCACTAAAAGAAAAAAACTTATCATAAAGCTGTTCTAATTATGAGAGTGTAGTTTTGACAGAAAGATAGACAAGAAGCTCAATGGAACAAAGACCTCATAAAGAGAACCACAAATTTATGGAAACTTGATACATGGCAAAGGTGGCCGCGCAGATCACTGATGCTGGGTGATTTACCATTGTGGAGGAAAAAAAGTAAGATCCTTACCTCTTATAATACACAGAGACACACACACACACAGCTGGAAAGTCTAGCTAGATGCAAGGTATAAATGGAAAGAGCAAAACTTGATCAAAAAGTAAAAACTTTTTTTCTGTAACAAAAACTCCCAAATGTTACCAACACTGCTGCTCTGGGGACTACATTAGAGGATCAAGAGGGACTGTCCCCTATGTGTCCGAGGAAACAAAGATAAGAACGTTGATTGGAAAGTTGTCCTAGAAAACCCAGAGAGAGCAGACAATTACTGTGGGAAGTCCACGTGGGAACCCGGGAGCTCACTGAGGATCTGGTCATCTGCCCAGGGCCCGCCGCAGAGGAGGATTTAGGTATGAGTTAACAGATGCATGAGTAAGTATATGATTGAACGAGAGTTTAAATGCATGAGGGAACGTATGCTTTGATGGATGGACAGATGGATGGATGGACGGAAAGATGGACGGGCGGATGGATGGATGGATGGATGGATGAGAGTGATAAAAGCCATCCTAATTTTTCCTTTCTTATCTACTTTGGCCATGAGAGATAAAAAGATAAACTTTGTGTTCCCTATAAGAACCTATGAATCAGTTGACTCACCCTATGACTTGATGAAGTTTCATAGGCTCTAATCTTATGAGTCCAAGATACTGATATTTTACATAGGGAAGAACCTGGGTTTAAACAGGGTAGGTAACTTGCTCAAGGTCACGGGGGCAAAGCTAAGATAATGCTGGAGACAGTATGGTTTACAAAATTTGCTATTCTGGACCCAAACCCAAAGGCTATAAGAATTTATGATTCCTGGTTTCTTAAATTATGACCTGGCAAGATCATAATTTTTTCAACCAGATTTTCAACTGTGCAATAGAATGGATTCATAATGAGGAAAACTAGGGGGATTTTTAAATACTATAAATATTAATTATTTCAATAGAATTCATATGAACATGCATGGTGCGGTTCTAACACTTGAACCGAGGGCTGGGAGATCCAAATTCTGGTCCCTGCACTGACACCATAGACAACCGCAAGACCTTGTGCAAACCACTTCCCCTCTGTTATCAAGACAATTAAGAAATTGTCTAAAGTCCCATCAGCTCTCGTGGTCTAGTTAAGACAGACTGCAGTTCCTAGTGTAGGGGAGAGAGAGTAACTCCTTATGTAGTGCGATGTGAAGGGCCTATCGGCATCTGACCCTAAAATACTTTCTCCATACTCCACCTGCCCAGGCCTACAAAATTCCATCAGTGATGCTGCTAATGGGTGGGACAGGCAGGGAAGACATCATCCCCAGAAGGTGACTCTCTTTGCTCAGTCTTGCCTCCTCAGCACTTAGGCAAGGGTTCATACCTAGCAAAGCGCAGGACCCCGAGAAGGGGAAGCCAGGATGGCGAAGGCCTCGTAACTAGGGTGGTGCCCATGGAGAACAGGCCAGGTTGCCAGGTGTCATGGGCTATAGAGTGCGACAAGCACTAATAAAAGGATGGAGAGGCTCAGATGTCCCATTCCAGCCACCAGTGAGTTCTCCTGGCTGTATGGTGTCCAGGGCAGCGTCATTGTGTCAGGAAGAGAGAGATCCAGGCAGAGCTGATGCTAAATGCTCCCACGCACTGAATGGCAGTGTTAGAGGCAGGGTGCACGTGTTATCTCATTTAATCCTCAAAAAACCAAATGCTGTAAAGACAGACAGCTACTAGGTATCAGAAAATGATAACAAAAGCCACTTAGAAGGAACCTAACAGTATCAGGCCCCAATTTTAATGAAGTTGTCAAAAATAAATTGCTTGAAACTAAATCTTGAAAAACATTTCAATTGTAAAAACAATTTTATTTAATTTATATTTCAATTAAATATGGAATATAATCACAAAATGCACCAAGGTTTGGGAATGTAGGGAAGTTGGTATAATTTTTCCCAAAAACTTATACTATGGTACCAACAATTCCTCCTTTCAAATTTCACAAACACAGCACAATCATTACAAGCTAATTATAAAAATTTATTTGAAATAATTTGAGTGTTCTCAACAATTTCACAGGGGTTTTCTTTAATCCAAGTGTTCCTCTTTGAAGTGCCCACAGAATCATTAGGATCATAGATTGTTTTCTTCTTCTTCCATCTTCAACCACTCAGAGACTCCACCTGTGAACCCAGCAACTCCCCAACATAATTTGCATCAATTCTTGAAATAAACTTTTGCCAGATCTCTGAGTCCACTTTGCAGGGGGTGTGGGTTCCATTTGCACTGTGTGGCCTGACGTTGCAACACTTCAATCAAGGCAAGACCCACCTCCTAGAGCAGAGGGTTTCTGGGCTCCACACCACCTGCCCCAGGTGCGAGATCTCAGGGGGTGGTGCTGGGTGGTGCCACATCTCACCTCAAATTTCCAAACAGTTGCCCGATGCTCTGCTTCAGGATTTCCCCATAACCTTAAAATGTCACCAGCCCATGCGGGCACATCCCAGCCTCCCTCCTTCATGGGACAATCCTGAGGAATTGTCTATGTGGTTCCTCAGAAAGTCCCCAGTGACGTTGAGCTCAGTCGTCCACAG